CAGGAAGTGAGCAGGAAGTGGGCGGGGGGGAGGAAGTGGGCAGGAAGTGGTCAGGGGGGGGCGGGGAGGGGAGGAAATGAGCAGGAAGTGGGCAGGAAGTGGTCAGGTAAGGGGAGGAAGTGGTCGGGGCGGGGGCAGGAAGTGGGCAGGAAGTGGGCAGTGGGGCAGGGCCAGGGTATGGGAAGTGGTAGGGTGTGGGGGCGCGTAGAGGGGGCAGCTGTCAATCAGGGTACCAGGGGGAGGAGCCGAGGGCCATGGGAACCAATCACGTCGGATCTGCATATGCAAATGAGCCCGGGAGGCCCCGCCCACACATCTACCCGGGGCCTCTCTATGCAAATGAAACCCGGGAGGCCCCGCCCACGCAGCTATATTGAGCCCGGGGCCTTTCTATGCAAATGAGATATGGGAAGCCCCGCCCACCCACCTATTGGCATTGGAGCCCAGGCCCCACCTCCCCATGCAAATGAACGGACGCCCCGCCCACGCCTCATGAATATTCATGCGGGATTTGCATGCACAGGAGGGACCTGGACTCCCGGAGCCCCGCCCCTCGTCCCAGAGTCAATCAAAACGCCTATGCAAATGAGGCCCGGCCCCATCCGTGGACCGGGAGGCGAGTATGCAAATGAGGCCGCGGGAGACCCCGCCCCTCACTGCCACACCCGTGCTTATGCAAATGAGGCTCAGCCCCATCTCTGCGGCTCCCAGGACAGGAACCGTGGGGTTCGTGTATGCAAATGAGCCCTGGCAACGAACCCATGCTAATGAGCTCCGCCCCCATGAACACCCGTGCCTGATTTGCATATGAATCCCAGGACTGGGCTGTGGTTTTGCCACCTGCTCATTTGCATGTCCGCGAGGCCCAGCCCCCTATGTAAATGAGTTACGGCCTCACACAGGTTGGGCAACATGGAGATTTGAATATGTAAATGAGAAAGTGCAGCACTCAGACCCCAGTAACCCGCCCTCATTTGCATACCCCACGTGATTTGCATATGCCGATGGGAACCATGCTAGACCCAATCCCAAGGGCTTTATTTGCATATCACAGCCAGATTTGCATATGCAAATGAGGCCCCACACCAGACTCCGACCCCAACACATAATTTACATACCAGCACCTCATTTGCATACACTAGGACCCTCATTTGCATATCTCCAGGTGATTTGCATATGCGATTGAGGCCCCACAGCAGAACCCAGGCCCCCAGGGCCTCATTTGCATATCCCTACCTGATTTGCATATGCAGACGGGACCCCACCCCACAACTCACCCTCATTTGCATGCCCCGCCCCCTCGCCCCGCCCCCTCACCGTTGAGCACCAGCACGTGCAGCGGGAGCCCCAGGGACAGGAAGTCGCGCGCGAACTTCCGCACGGAGGCCAGGGAGGCCAGGTCCAGGAACAGGAAGTGCACTGCGGGGGG